GGCGCGCCAAAACACCACGCCGCACTTGCAAAGCGATGGGCGGAGCGTCGGTGGGGGGAGGCGGGAATCAAAGTACGCAAACACCGAGTCCCACATTTTTTATTCCGACAATAAGAAAGGAGAAGGCAGTAAGGGCATGAAAATCATCAAATGTTACTTAATGTTGCGTTGATTGCGTACATGCTGATTATCTGAAAACTAACGTTTAAAGAATAAACTCGATTGGCAAAGAAACATTATACAGGGTGGCTATTAACTATTGACACCAAACTTGCGAGCTAGATATTATGCATACCAGACGCACTAATATGTGTTCTTTTATATTTTTCTTATTCTTTTACTCATTGTGCATTTCCCTGTCAAATTTCATCAAATAATATTACGTCTGAACTGAATGGTGGCTCTTTTTCCAACCCTTTTTTCGATCAACAACGGAACAATTGAAAATGGCCACACGACTGATGTTACAAAACCAGTCCGTGTGGACCGCATGTTAGCGAAAGTACTGCCCATAAATGTTTTCTTATTCACATTGACGTGGGCTATCTAATAACTGATTTTGGGGTATCTGTGACATCAGATACCATCGTTATAGTCGTGAAAAAGAGAATTTACTAAAATTTAGACGAGTGTTACAGAAAGCTTGCTGCTGACTTCAAAATGGTTCAACGCTTGATGAAAATTATTTTCAACAAAGAACAGTTTCTAGCTTTTTTAAAAATACTCAGTGAGCTCTCCGGGAGAGGGACACCAGAGTATTGTGGCCCAAAAAGCTTGGAAGTTTCTACGCGGCCCGTTCCTAAACACTCACAGGAGGACACTACTTTGGAGTGATCATTTTTACAGTCGATGGCAACAAGGTCCTTCGAAATTGCAGAATCATATTCAAAAATATGTCATCTATCTGCCAGTAATTTAAAATTGCAAATAGAATTTCGCTTACCGCCACGATTCTGATCTTTGATGGAATCACTGGAAATTGCAAATAATCCCTTGTTTTCCTCAATTTTCGAACCAAAAGCAGCCTTAGAACAAGCCTACGTTATCAAAATTTTGCATTAATCTGAATCCTACTCGAAAAGTTAATATCGGACGTTTTGAGAAGATTGAGCCACGGTTTTCAGTGCCAAAGACACCCCATGGTTGTTCAAACTCAATTTTCCGTAGTTGAACTAAGCACAAGAATGGATCGATTTCTTCCCAATCTTGAAACCAATAAATTATTCAGTTATAGGGTATTGGACCCAAATAGTGTCTTCATGAAAATTCAAAATATCACACTTCTGATGACCCCCCTTCAGAAGATATGGGCGTAAAAACGTCGAAAATACCTCTGTGCCGTCGTTGCCTCCTTTCCGAAGCTTCTGAAGGCTGTCGTCAGAGTGAAAAGAAGTGTATTTGAAAACTTTTGCATTATTATAAATTTTGTGCGTCTGAAATTATTTTATCCAAAATTTGTGTTCCGCTCTTCAGAAAGCTTCAACGTAAAAATGGGAAAAATGATTCAAAAATTGGGTCAGAGTCTCTCTTCAAGTATCCACTGACGAAGCTAGTGCTGCACCAATTGTGTTAGGAGGTGCCGTAGGATTATTTCGCTTGAAAATATTCTTGATCGTATCGAATATGCGTTTGTTACTAAATAGATACGACATTTGTATGATCAGAGGTTTCGTTACAAAATCCAACTGATTGCCGTAGAAACTTGCCTGAAAAACTCAAAGATTGCAGTGGGTTTTCAGAAAAACTTACTTTTGTCTGGTCCCTTTCAAATTGATAATGAATGTGCATGCGTAGGCTTGTCTGAAAAATATTATCCAAAAATTTGTTTTCTTTGCTGAGTTCCATCGAACTCCCCACTTTAAACGCAGCCAAACCAATAGTTTGATAAAAAAAAATGAATCTGTCTGGCTTATTATTTATAATTGATTTTAAATGAGATTTTCTTCTAATGCTCATTGAAATTGAAATATGCAATATAGCGGATGAAAACATCAATACGTGAATAACGATGCTTTCATACTGTAGAGATTTATAAATGTTTCTAATTCAAAAAAAATCCACTCACCAGTAACATTTCTCGATACATCAAGTACATGCTTTCATCTGTCAAGACTAGAACATCAAAAATTGCCAATTTCAAATACCCAACAAATTACAAAGCAAACAATATTACTTGTAAATCTTTTTGTGATGAATCTTCCTTTACTCGTAACTCAAAATGTAGCATATGTAAATCTTTCTCTTTTCAAAACTACAATCTGAGACAGGCGGAAAGGAAGACCCAGACCGATCTCACTGGATATGGCTAAACCATTCTGTCTTATCCACCGTATACCTCGAGCCTTGGACTTTCCGACTGCCCCCTATCCAGCCATTTCTAAGGTCATCTTGATGAAAAAAATTCATCTCAAAAAAAGATACCAAATATGGGCTGAAATGGTTTTCAATTCGCTGTCACCGGAGTTTTGACAGGAGGGCAATCACAATTTGGTGACAGGTCGTCATTGATTACAATGCTTATCACCTTCAATTTATCCGACATCGTTTTGGCCTTCTTTGTATTGAATGTATCTGCCGTTAAAAATGGAAGGAACTTTCCGAACAACCTAATATTTTCTACGGCAATCATCATGATTTCATCACAACACCTAATCAAGTGTCAGAAAATGCTGAGTGAGTGTCAGAAAATAGAACATTAAAGCGGTAGAGCTCCAAAGTTCGGACAACTTGTCCCCCACGAGGTCGATCCCCAGAAAAAATCAAGATGTGTTTTGACCCTCAGTTTGCTGTGGATTACTTTTAAGACGGCCTGATACAAATCAAGTTATAAATTAGTGATTTTTAGTTTCATCTATAGTTCAGAAAGTACTGTAAAAATTGTAGCTCTGTTGGCGGATATTTATGACGCCCAAACCGCTATGAGACAATGCGAAGCCATCATTTACAGAAACAACTCAGGACATCCGTGATGTTGTCTCCAATAACAACAATATCAACAATTTCGATCAGTCAGTAACACTTCAGCTTCTCAAAAAATCTATTTCATTATTTCAGACGTATTTAATGTTTTTATTCAATTTCAATCCCAAAATCTAAAAATGTTTTGATACCGATGAATTAAAACTTATTAGAATTTGATTCAATTTTATTGAAAAGATGTGCAATTAAAAATTATTCAATCCGTGGTAAAATTCTGGACCAATTGTGTTATTTGGATTTCCATATTGCTCATAATTCAAATTCGTTGGATGTCCGAAATTCTGCATATTCCATTGATTAATGACTGGTTGTTCCATTTGTTGTTCCATATTGTATCCGTAAATCCACGTATTCTGATCTGGGTTCATCCAATATTGATGGGAATTCCCCGTCATTGAAAAATCAAAATTTTCTTGATTTGAATAGTGAGCATTCGAAAAGTGTCCGTTTGAATTCATTTTCGATGGTGGTGATGTACTTGAAGGAGGAGTTGGAAAGGTTTCAG